TTTAAATTTGAAATTAAAATTTGAAGTTGAAATTTGAAATTGAAATTTGAAGTTGGAATTTGAAATTGGAATTTGAAATTCAAATTTACGATTGAAATTTTGAATTGAAATTTAATAATAATGAATCATTCACATTTATCATTCTAATTATTTACACTATAATAAAATATCAATATTTTTCACTTCACGAATTGAAAAAAAAGCATTGATCAATTTTTCCAGAATTATTTGAAATGTAAACTGGAGAGTTATTAAATATATCCTCCATTACACTGAATTTTTAAAAAGTGGATAGACATTGGATTCGGAAGCGGAAACGTTATAAAAAAATCTGATGGTTACCTAATTTTTCTTTCGAGTGCGACTACTGAATATTCAATTAAAATATACACTTCCAAGCCAACGGACTAATTGGAATTCTCAGTAAGTCTGAACCTGTTGAGATAATAATTCCGAAATTGAATCCCTGTTTCTCACATGCCATCCCCGTTATGAGTAAATATTCTCAAGGAGGTCGTAAGAGTTGTGGGAAGGTCAGTGACGAAGATTCGTTTATTCATACATTGTGGCAAATATAATACGCAGCACTCGACCCAAGAATATATTAATATTAAAACCCCACCCCTCAATAATTGGTACACTAAACTATTAAAATGACTAATGAATACTATAAATAATTGATAAATTATTATCAAAAATATTGATCCATTGGCGCAATAAAACAACACGAGAAAAAGAAAAATATATATCCAGAAATATATATCAATTATATTCCGATATATCATACGTACATTCCGGCAAAAAAAATGCATTATTCGATATATCTTGGACATGTATTCAAAATATACGTTAAATATATTTAAGACATAATAAATCCATTAAATAATTTATACCTCAGTTTTTATTTTTGGATCATATATTTTATCACGGATAAGATAATCAATTGTCAAAATCATCGAGTAAACGTCACAGACAATAAAAAATGAGGCCTTGAAAAGTGGACACGTAATAATAAACTGCAGTTTAATAATAAAACCCTGTGCCCGGTACGTGAATCATTGGATTAATGATGATGCTTACCTCTTGCCATGCGAATCCCATCAGGTGGGCGTCGACTTCGACGGCACATATAACGTGCAAAAAAAAATAAAAAATCCAAGATTTTTCGCACCTTTTTTTTACCACCCGACGAAATATTTATTATTCTCACCAAAACAGTTCCGTATTATGAAAAATAAACCGGATAAATTGAAATAAACAGGTAATTCACATTGACACCATTAGAAAGCACCAGCGCATGCGCTCTCGACGGACGTCTAGACAAGACTGAAGGTCCGTGAGGTATCCGCTCTCTCAAGAGGCACAAACCCCACATAAAAGTCAGGTACATCCACTCCATCCTAACACCACCTCAATACAAGGTGTTGCATTAATAATAATTAATAAAACGATAATTGCTCGATACGAATCAGGAATCATCAATTCCTCGTCGTTATATTTTACCTCAATGTTGCATGGAATTACGCGGAAACTTAACGGTACGTTAATTTTTTTCAACTAGTGAATCACTCATTTCCATGTAATGTAATATTTGAAAGTAAGTGCATCAATTTTGAGGATATCCTTTCATTTAAAAAAACTTTTTCCGTTTGAATATCCCATTTGCCCTTATCCCGAGGGATCAGGTGTGATCGGCGGTGTGGAAAGGTTCCACTTCGTGGTGGCTAATTTCGGAATTATTTACCTTTCTGGTCAATTTATAGTATGACT